TTTGCGTGTCTTGCGTCGTTAGTGCGGATTGCTCGGGCAGTTGGACCGACACACGCTTGCCCACTTACATCCAAGGGTTTATGCAAAACGCCGGTTTGCGTGCGGAATTTGAATCGGTTCGATTCCGCACGTAAACATTGCGTTTTGTGGAAACCCTTGGATAAAAGTGGCGATGCGTGTGCAAGAGTGTCTGCCTAACTGCCCAAGCACCCACGCCGAGGACGCAGGACACGCGAAGTGTGCAATGCCCTTCAGAGTCGAGTGGTCCCAGGCGATTAATTTATCATGGCTGGTAACCCTACTAACCGCGGCTGTAACGCTACTAACCGATATCTTCCGCCACGAGCATGCATGGTACACTGTAACTCGTGTCGTTTGTGTCGTTCGACTGCAGGAATCGATAGCCGCCTCGGGCAGACATGCAGCACCATAGCTAACGTTAACCGATGTGTCCAAGTGGTATTCGTGGAGACGCCAGACGGAGGGAGACCTACACTCTTAGAAAAGAGTGAGCGATATTCGAGAGAGGGAGCGAAACTGGGATATGGATTTTGTTCTTATAAAGGAGTAGTTATCGATTGCACTTCCTCGTTTTTAGGGTCTTCCTCGCTAACTCCAGTTTCGATCCCTTTCTCGGATATCGCTCCTTTTTTTCTAAGAATGCATGAACTGTAGCTCCAGGGCCTTGAGGACGCTTCTGGACCGTGAGGACGCTTCTGGGCCGTGAGGACGCTTCTGGGCCGTGAGGCCGAAGACTGCATGCTTAGTCATAGGCAATTGCAGAAATACAGAGAGGCTGGCTCACTGGGATCTCGGAGCTCCACTCTTACACGTAGCATACACTCTTAGAAAAGAGCGAGCGATTTTGCTCAGAGGAGCAGAACAGAGGTAAGGGATTTTCATCCCTAAAAACGAGGAAGTTTTATCACTGAGTACTCTTTTTTTCGAGCAGAATCCCTCAATTTTTTTTTTCATAACACAAAGCGAAGAAGGGGGAGTTTTTTTTTCCAAACTGGTAGAAGTTCGCAATTATACTCAGTTTTCTGCACTTTAGGGAGCAAAATCGCTTACTCCAATTTAACTCCCTCTGAGCAAAAATCGCACACTTTTCTAAGAGTGTGCTGGAAGGTTGAAAGACGAAAAACCACGACCGAAGAGGAAACTTCTTCCGTGCGCGCATCGCTGGCAGACGGGCGAGATTCAAGTTGACAGGTATCCGTGGGCCCACAGCGAATCTTCACGAGTCGGTCACGGTCGTCTCATCCGTCGGTTGTCGACGGTGTCCATAAGACAGGCAGCATGCATAAACTAGTGAAAAAATGCAAATTTTTATCTCCCAACAATTCGTAAACAAATCAGTCTTTACACGTTTGTAACCGTTAGTAACAGTACGTACGTCACAACCCCACCAACATGACTTTCTGCTTATTGTATCGTTCCCGTGGATTTGTTCCTCTACGTGATGTCCATACGTTACTGCTACGTTACACCTCCTGTTATACGTTACACCCACCACGGAGGCATCTCAGCGCTCTTCCATCTAAGTGAAGAGACTTCACTTCCCAGGGTTTATTCTTTGCTTTCTTATTCACGAGAAAAATTCATCGAGGGTAATCTAGAGCTGTTGTTCGATCAGATATATCCGTAGCTATTTAATCGATTCACAGAGCAGTCGCGAGTTTAAAATGAATCTCGTTTCTCTCTGCGAAGGAAGCCATCTATGCATGGAACGACAGCTCGAGTCGATCCCGTCGCTTATCCGTCTAGATCCAATCGATCGTCGGTCCACGTTTTTTTTGCCGCAAATCGCGAGTGGTGGAATGTATGGTGGTATAAGAATAACTTTGCCACGACCACGGGTGCCATGCGAAATCAAAGGAAGATCTAGGAAATGATCGACCCTCGATGAGTCTCGAGTTCTCATCTGATCCGTGTCGGTCTATTCCCTGGAGATGCGATCGAGCGTGTCGACAATCCGATGGTGATGATCTCCATTGTGAATCCCCAGGAATTATCACTTGCCAACTTTTGAAGATCCACGGATGCTTTCCGAACCATGCTTTGGGTCGAATTAAGTACTGGTCGACTTGCTTTTTTGGCAGCAGAATCGCGAGGATTCTCATAAACCGATTGCACTAGCTCAACAATTTTTTTTGAATTATAAAGCAACACTACAGACCGAAGAATCCAAACACGACCCGAGGAAGGGAAAAGCTATCGGAAAAATTCGGACAACGGGAAAGTTAATCGAATCAATGAGAACATTAATTTTTTTTAGTGCAGTGCAACTCTCTCGGTTTTTCCCTCTGTTTTCCATCGGTAAGGATGGACGGACTGATGGACGATGGCCAATAATTGGCCTTGGCACGATTCGCTTTTTCTTCTGATATTTAAAGCCGTGAATGGAACCCAGCCCAGCCCTGGAATCCAAACCTTTCTCAGCGTCTCTCGACCGCAAGAAATTTTGGCAGATCGGCAAATGTTATTCTAAAATTGCTCCCGACACGAATCCCCTTTCCGGGACGATCGACATAAAAAAAAAGGTTTCCCGATTCCCGATCTTCCAGATGAAGGACGAGAAGAGCGGAGAACGGCGTTGAAGCGAGAAGGCTTTCAGAGATGCCAAGGGGAGAGTTCGACCCGCTGTGTCCCCTTGGATTCCACCCGCAAGTGAGGTGGCCCACGAGGTGCAAGAGGTGCTTTCGGTGAGTCTCTCTCGCTCCCTTCTGCGACGCGCACGGCATGACGATCCATGGCTCGCCGGCTGCTTTCTTCTCGTGGACTATTCTCGGAGCTCCGAACCCTCGGCTCCGACTATCGATTCCAGGTGTCTTTGTTGAACGTCGGGAGAGGCGACGGAGAAACGCCGACAACGAAGCTTGTGTTTCGTCGAGGCGTCATCGACGACCTGGCTCTACGGCTGGAAGAAAAACAGGGGATAACGATGACAGATATCCGGGTTTCGTTGCAGGGATTACAACGACCATGCCGCCGCGAAGGCTGACAAAAAGACGGAGGAGAAGAGCGTCGTCGGCTCCAATTCCAAGGAGTCCAACTCCAAAGGAGCGGACCAGAGAGCGGCGGAGGCGAAGGAGGATGCACCGATTACGTGAGTCTCGTTCCACGTGGTTCGGCCTTCTTCCAAGAATGGTCCGGGTACAATGGGTTTCGTTCATGCGTACAGGAAGAGAAAGAAATCCACCGGAGAGGCAGGGGAGAAGACAGAGAGAAAGAGAACTTCCAAAAATCCTGGTGAGCGAATAAAGACGCATGAGTGAGTGTATATCAGACTGTTTACAGACCTTAACAAAAAAAAAGACAGGCGTTTGGTGAAGGTCAAGGAGGTGCGAGCCTGATCTACATTCCTTCAACCTTCTTGGCGTCCTTCCCAGTTCTCTGCTCACTCCTAATAGGCATGTATGAAGTGCTCTGTTTCACGACATCTATTCATTCATCAATTTCGCTACATCCGAGAGACATGCATGAAAGGATACACTGAAGCTTTCCGAGACCGTCGAAAATGAGCAAGAGTCAGAAAATTACAGAGATGTTAATTAGCGAGCAGAGAGGTTCATGGGGGTTACGACTGGCATAGACTCAACTCGAACCGCGAGACAAATTTCTATCACGTCAACATAGATGTTGACGCGAAATTTTCTCCCGAATTCTTTGCTGATCCGAGGAGCTTCGATTTCGACTCCACTGAAGGTTTTTCTTGGCAGACGGCCAGGTGAGAAAGCGGAAACTGCAGATCACCGGACTGAAAGAGGTGCAGACCGACGAGCAAGACGACGAGACCACGTCCAATCCCGACGTGGCCTTCATCATCCAGGTAAACCCACGAAACGACCTTTAAACTGCATTCACCCAGCGGTTTGAAACGACTGAGACGAGAGGCAAGCTGCCAAAAACATCCCTTTCCGCCTCGTCCCGCAGGTGAAATCCACCCGGCCGAAAAGAGATGACGACGACGTGACGAGCATCCAGACAGAGACGTCAGATGCGACGACGTTGCATACCGATGCCACCGATACCACCCTCACGGGAGACAAGTTCGAGGACATCCAGGAACAAATGACTCTTCTCAGGAAGGAGGTTCGGTCCCATACCGTACGACAACCGATTCCGAGAGTCCACCTAGCAATAATGACGATCATTTTGTCCAGAACGAGAAGCTGCAGTTGCAGGTGGCCCGGCTGGAGAAAGAAAGGAACGAGACGAGCCAGCGACAGCTGGTCGCCAGCGAGCGGAGGTTGGCAGGGGAAGCGGCCACCGAGCTCGTGCGGATGCGACAGCAACTCAGCAACTACAAGGGGCAACTCGAGGACCTCACCGACGAAAACAGGAGCCTGAAGGCCGACATCAAAGAGCTTCAGGCTCAAGCCGAAAAGAAGACCGAAGCCCAGGTATAGTCCGTCCTCGAGGCTCACTACGTTAGACTACGTTAAAGAGGATTTCACGGATGTTCGGTCTCTATTCCAGCGACAAGTGGAGGAATTGCGAGCAAAACTTCACGCAGCCGAGACTCTGTGCGAGGAACTGATGGACGAGAACGACGACATGAAGCGGGAAATCAAGGATCTCGAGGAAGAGATCGAGGAGATGCAGGACAACTTCAGGTACGAAATCGTCGACCCCTCTCGAATCATCCGTCTCGTCGATGAACGTTCGAGGAATGTCCCTCCCTCCCATAACAAATCGTAGAGAGGACCAGGCAGAGGAGTACCGAGACCTGAAGAAGGAGTTGGAGCAGACGGCTAAAAACTGCCGCATCCTCCAGTTCAAACTGAGGAAGGCCGTGCGGAGATCCGAAGAGCTGGAGGTCGAGAAGACCCACCTGGAGTCGAAGTTCGAGGACGTCTCGGCCCAGGACCTAGGTTCCCCGCTCGGCGACAACAAGTCCGTGAGAACCTTCGTGCACCCACCCTCTTCCCCCCGTCACGATCGCTCACGAGAGTAACGATGATGTAGGGAGCGACTGCAGACGTTGGAGCAGGAGCTCAGCGTGGCCAGGGACGTCTCGGCTCGGATGAGACAGGAGATGGAGAACCTCAAGGATGCCCTCAAGGCCACCGAGCAAGACAAGGCCTTGATCAAACGACGCATGAGTGGAGACCTCACGGTCGACACCAGCCAGCTCGCCCTTCGACACAAGGAGGTAAACGTTCCCTTTTGTCCGTTTCGCCTGACTCGCAATGAGTTTCAGTTACAAATGTTCTCACCAAAGATTTGCATTCGAGAATCGGATAGGTCTCACTGCGAGAGTACATGCTCCAATTACAATATCGAAGTCATGATGTCACGTCGCGCCGGCAAGCAGGGTCTCCTATGGGTCGACAGTGGCTCAAGAGAGCCACTGTCTACATAGGTTGACAGTGGCTCACCGCGCCCATACCTCTGATCGACCTAGGTCCAGATTGTGGGACGAATCTACAATCCATTCAAGAATCTATTCATTCTAGAAAATACTCTGCATCGAAAATAATTGAAACAGAAGTTGGAAATGTTACCTACAGTGGGCATCGAGTTGATCGATCGCGACTCGAATCATAATTGCACACTTCAACCAGTGTGTAGTTCCATGACTTGAGTCATGACCACGGTCATAGCTGAATTCGCCCGGTATTTCCCAAAATGAGAAAGAGTTTAATCAAAACCCCGCAGAACCTTCCTCAGCCCTCGTCTCGTTCGTTTCTTACCTCGATAGAGAGCTGGAGTCCTCCATGGCGACGAAACAGGGAAATTGGTCCGGGAACTCCATGACGCCCTTGAACGAGAGGCCGACTTGAAGGAACAGCTCAAGTTCTCCGAAGCAGAGGTCCGAAGCCATCCCCTAAAAAGATTTCATGCAGTGGAGAATAGAAACAAAACTTTTTCCTGTTTCCCCCCTCCCCCTCCCCCCCCGCCGATTTCTTACAGGCGACATCTCTGAGGAAGAAGCTCACTCGTGTCGAAGAGGAGAATGAAACCCTGGCGATGCAGATCTCAAAAATGGCCGCGAAAAGCAAAGCCGGTTCGTCCCCAGTGCAACCCCCTTCCCTCGATCGTCACAGTCCACGTGTATCGCAAGCCTATCCTTTCCATTATTCCTTGCATACAGTGCGCCAAAGGAGCCGCGACGGTCTGGAGAGCGATTCGGAGCAGGAAGAAGAAGCGCAGAGCGCGGTGGACCTCAAGATTCAGCTAGAACTCAACGAACAGGTCTGTTCTCCTGTCTCAATTGACACCCTCTTCTTAATCGAACCTCACCAATTTCGTGATCTTCCAGGAGACGAGCATCTTGAGGAAGAAGGTGGACGACCTGGAAGTAGAGAAAGAGGCATTCCAGAAGGAACTCCTCTGTCTCCAGGAGCAGTTGGCGACGAAGACGAAAAGAACGACAACTGAAGCTTCACCGAAATGGGAGGCCAAAGTTGCTCAATTGGAGGAACAGCTGGCAAGTTACAAGAAGCAGCTTGCCGAGAAGGAAAAGGAAATTGAGCGATCGTCCAAGATGAAGAGTAGGACAGTCGCCAACCGCAACTCGTCTGTTCCCCTATTTATCCTTTCTTTCTTATTTGTCGAATGGACTTGGTGAGGACCGAAGGACGGTGTTTTGTATGCGACTGATAAAGGGGCACAGCGGAGAAGGAAAAGGACAGAACAGTGGACTTGAAGCAACAGATGGAAGCAGTGGAACAGGAAGCCATCATCCTTCGAACGAAAATCAACGAGTTGGAAAAGGAAAACGAGAAGCTTACCAGCCAAAACAAATCCCTAAACCTCCGTCTCGGTAGGTAGACTCGGGCATACTCGTACACCCTCCCCCTGCATCGTGACGCCTGGCATTGTAAGCCCCCGCTTTGCAGGCTCTCGTCGCGGGTCGAACCAGTCGTTGACGGAGGACGATCGACCCGGGAAGCAGACTGATCTGGAAATCGCTTTGAAGGATTTGCAACGACAGCTAGACGAGACCAAGAAACACTCCAGCCAGGAGATCAAGCTACTCCAAGAGGAAAAGGAACTCCTGGAAGCGGAGGTGAAGTCCTTGAAGTCGGAAAAGGAGACCTTAGAATCTCGTTTCGGACAGAAAGCTTCAGTCGGAGGAAAGAAACGACCTAGAGAGAGGAAGAAGGTCGACACCGCCACCAGGATAGAGCTCAAGCGCTTCGTCGAGGAACTGGAAGCGGAGCTCGGTACATACGTCGAAATCCTACCGACTCGAGAGAACACCAAGCAGTACCACGGATGAGAGATCCATGATTCCATTTCAGATTGCCTTCAGGCGAGGCTGGACGAGAAAGGCGACGAGGGAGGACGACGAGGCTCTCGAAGCATCATCGAAGAACTGGAGAAAGCCAAGAAAGAACTCATACTCGAGAAGGACAAGAACGAATCTCTCTCGCTCGAGAAGAAAAAATTAGAGACGAAACTCAAATTCGAAACTGGTAGGAGACGCTCCGACGGCTTCGGCCCCCCCCCCCTGTACCCGTGAAACATTCACGTCTTCGTAATTAGGGTTAATGGATTCTTGTTTCAAAAAATTTAAATGGAACACACAGCTGTAATTTTCAACGACCTTATTTCGAATCAATAATATAGTGTTCGCCCCCCCCCCCCCCCCCCCCCCCTCCCTTAAAAAAAAGCGCTGAAGTGGAACTAAACACACACACACACACATTGCAGGTAGCAGTTCGGATAAGACGGTGGCCAATGAAACCCTGGAGAGAGAGCGGAAACTCCATCAAGAGACCCGAAACAAACTCACCGCCTTGGAGAAGGAACTCCAAAGTTACAAGACGCGATCCCGGGACCACGAACAATACATCGAGAAGGTATTTTTCTTTCGGGATCTAAAATATCCAACCTCCTTCCCACCTTATAGATACAGTTACTGTGGTCTCATAGATCAAAGCCCAGGAGGAAAAGACGAGGGAAAAGGAGAGGGAAATTCAACGTCAGCTGAAGGCCGTTCAGGAACTGGAAGAGAAACTGTCTTACTTCGAGAAGAAGAACCAGTCTCTCGAAAAAGAGGCGAGAAGATTCAACTTCCCGATCTTCTCTTCTTCCTTTAAGTTAGCTTTATTCCAAGTTCTTGAATGTGACAGAAGGAGAAGTGGAAGCAGGTGGAAAGCCGGCAGAGCGATGTGGCTATGGGATGGCTCAAGGAAAGGGAAGATTTGAAGAAGCAAATCGAGGAATTCAAGGGGAAGGCCAGCAAGAACGAGAGACAACTCGAACAGCTGAAAAAGGACACTCAGGAGAAGGTTATAGACTCCATTGTGCATACTAACACATTTTTTTTGTCCATCCCTCTTGATTCCACTTGATGCAGAGGGCGAAAACGATAATCTATTGGAATCATAGGAAAAGAACCAGACGGAAGAGAACCGACGGAAGATGGAGAACGCAAAGAGGCAGATGGAGCACGAGATAAAGACCTTCAAGGAAGAGAATTCCAATCTGAAGCTGAAAGTCGCTGCCCTGGAGAAGAAAGCGGAGGAAGTGAGTGAAGACTCCCATGCCTTTCCCCTCCCACCGACACGCAACGCGATGCGAATCGAGTGACTTATTTAGGCAGAGGGAAAGAAATCGGAGCGCTTAGAAAGCCAGCTGAAAGACAAGGAGAAGGAGTTGGAGACTTTAAGGAAGAAATTGCTGGAAGCGGAGGTCCACGACCACATCTCCACCAAATGGGAAGCAAGGGCTCAAGGTCTGGTCCTCTTGACTTCCGCCGCGCAACGATCACGCCCGCCTTCAACTTTTGGATTTTCCCTATTGGCAGACATGGAGAGGGAGCTAGAGGAGCAGAAGCAAGAGTACGAGGATCTAGCGACCAAGTACAATCTTTTGGAAGAGGATTACGTTGTGATCAAGGCGAGGCTCACGATGGAGAAGGAAGCCATCAACAGGTGAGATTCCGTTTCTCACGTTTTACCTTCCACATTTCGGAAAGAACATCCTACACCAATCCATTCCCCACATCCTCAACCCGAAGTCACCTATTAAAGCCATTGAATAACGGCGAGACGCTCGTTGGAACGAGACGTAAGACATACAGCTACTTGACATTTGCCGGGAAGGGGAAATTGTTGAATGACGGGATTCCCTGGTTTTGTTTTGCAGTATACTCTTTTCCAGTGACTGGACGGACAACAGGTCTGTGCTAGCCAGTTTCCATCATGTTCAAAGCCCACAACATGACCGAAATATCATTTCTCGTTTCTCTCTTTTACTTCCCGCATTCTCTCTCGCTCGAGTAGCCGTCGTTTGAACCCGTGTGTGAAACCACTGATGCTTGCATGTGCTTCATGCTCAAACCCCTGCTTCACCCCTTTTTATTCGGTTCGCCTTTTCAGCCGGATACCTTCTCTTTCACTCGATGTCACATGAGCCCAAACCCCGATTCACGATGGCATTCCACATCGATACGTTACAAACACTTTCAGCCCCATATCCGATAATGACGTCATACGCTCACGGCGCATTCAGATCACCCGTGTCGAAAGTTTTAAGTATTCTCAACCAAACAAGTTTTGCATAAGGTAAAAAGTGCCTAAATGATTATCGTCCTGAAAATCGGGGAATCGTCTGGGATGAACGGATGAAACCCTGGCCAAGCAGACCCAGACTGACAACGATCAAATTGGCAAAATAACTTATTTCTAAGAAGCCACGAACGATGGTTGTTGGGTGGTAGGGTCGGACAAAGGTGATGCAGTGTTTTTCAATCGTGACCGACATTTTCCACTTGATTCCGACACCTGACAGCAGGTCGAGTTTTTAATTGCTACCTGCGTGCAATAATTTCGTGCTCAAATGAATGCCTGTCAGACTCAAAGAGGAAAGTGTCAAAATTACCTGGGATACAATAAAAAAAACCGTTACGAATGTCTCACTGTGGCCTTCGTCCGCTTGCATCATCGATGTGGAATGACAAAAGATGCGAACAGGAGGGAAGTTGAGTGCTAGAACAGTGTTATTTTTGTCTCACTCCTGCCAAATGACGGAGAAATGACGGAGGGGATGGTTATGCTGTCTTCAATTTATTTGATCCTGGGCAATTTACGTCCAATGGATTTGCGGGCGCAGGAGAAAGTCGAGAAGAGGTTGGAGACCGTAATTAGCGATGCCTGTGTTTTAAAGGTAGAAGTATAGTTTCTTTGGTTTCACTAACAGGTGTCGCTATTCTGGCGCTCAGCTTCTCGTTCCAATTTCATGAAAACCATAACCTCAACTCTAGACAGGTTGACGGCAAAAAAAAAATTACTTGAAAGAGAGCGAGAGAAAGAAAAAATGTTTCCCTCTTGTCGTCGCCTCGTCTGGATAATGGTAGTTCGTTCCGGGAATTCATCTCTTTTCCTCGTCTTGTTTCTTACGCCTTCGACTGAAGCGATTTGAACGAGTTGCGACGGGAGCATAAGATCCTGGAAGGGGAACTCCAAACGCTTCGCGAGACCTACAACTTGCGTCAGGACACCTGGATCAAGGAGAAGCTTGACATGCAGGTGAGCGTCGAGGTGTCGACGTGCTAGTGTGTCGATTCGATGCATCACGTGGAAATGAATCCATCGGACAGGAGAAGATCCAGGATCTGGAAGAGAAGCTGTTAAGGTCCGGAGGTCTGGCTTGGGAATGGGAAAAAGCGAAACTTCAAGACAAGGCTGACCTAGCCGATCGACTCAGAAAAGAACTGGATGTCCTTCACTCTCAAATGGATCATCTCAGGGAGGAGGTACTGTGTTTGTCAGTGGCGGTGCTGGACCTGTGCGCCGTTTCTTAGCGCTCTGGACCTAAATAATTAAAAATAAAAAAGTAATATTTTTTACATTTATAAATTAAATGTAATTAAATATGATGGAACGTGGGAAAGGGCTTTAAAATAAAAGCCCCTCATCCAGCAGAACTGCTCATAACGTGACTTGGTCTGGCCTGTTCAGGGCCTTTGTCGAGTTCCTGCGCTGTCTTAAAATAAGAGTGTGATTAGTACATATTAGCCTCTCAAGCTGGTTTTATGCTTATACAGTATTCAGAGTTCTATTCAAACTCAGTATCAGAAACATCCAGGCATTCAAATTCTGTCACTCGTCTCGTTGCTAAGAAGTCGATGTTTAGGTACTTCTACGAGCTAATTATAATCTTTCTGGAAAATTACTATTAGGAAAGGCAATACAGGCTGTTGTTAGAATGCAGACTTTGTTGAATAACAAATTGTCAAGTGTAAATTGATGTGGTTAACATCGACGTGACCGCCTGGTTAACTCAGTAAAGCTCAAATATAGAAAACAAATCTATTAATAAATGCGCTATTAAATCCCCGTTTCCATGCAAACTTTTTGATTTTTAAGGTAAATCTTATAATTAAAAAATCTATAAATTATACCCGGAGCACGTAAACTTTGATGGCACCTGCATTTAAACTCTCTTTGACATCACGAAACCAGACTCGTAACAGTTCGGGTCCATCTTTGGATCGTCCTAGGAGATTTATTTTATTCTCGTTTTCGCCTATTGGAGGACGATTTAAAGCTGTGATGAAGCAAGACAAAAATGGACGGAGTCGCTCAGAAATAACTCCAAATTACAACGAACGCACGACAGTTCGAAACTAAGCCTATCCATAACGCCTACCATAAGTTTAATCTTCATCTCACCTTATGGAATTTCATCGTCGTCATGAAACCTCTTTAATCATTAGCCTTTACAAATTTGTGGGGACTCCTCATTGCAGTATGAGAAATGCAGGAATCAGCTGGAAGACTACGAACGGGTCACTCGAGCTCAAAAGTCTCTTCAGCTGGACACATCACAGATGGAGAAGGAAATCCGGGACCTCAGGACCAGGTTAGAGGACCCCACGAAAACAACATTTTTGGAAGACAGCGTAAATCGAATCGATGTAACCGAGGACGTCGATTGCCTAGGTTGCAAGAAGAGGAGAAGTCGCACAAATCGGAGATGACGGGGCTGCGAATGCGACACGAGGCTCAAATGGCCAAGACCAATCACGACATGGCTGCTTTGAGGCAGCAAGTGTCTCGGGCCGGTCGAGAACGGGACACGTTCAAGGAGATGCTCGAAGGTGCTCAGAGGACCATCGCCGAGCTCAAGGCCGATACGAATCGGCTCAAGGATCGCCAGGCGCAAAAGGCTCAGGTATCTGCTTTTTAATGATCCGCGATAGGCTCATGTTTGCCAGTCATTTCCCTCGACGTCGGGGATTTTCTTTCGGCAGTTGGAGGAATGCTACCAGCAGATCGAGGAAATTCAAGAAAGAGTGGCGTCTTTAGAAGATGAACTGTCGGACGCGAGGCTGGAAAATGTGCGCATGAGTACGGACTTTGCGACGGAAAAGGCTCATCTGCAGCTCAGAGTCGTCCAGCTTCAGACTAAAGTCAACGAGGTCAGTTATCGAGACGTCGAAAATAATTTGCTGCTGGGTCGTACGAGAAGGAGTTTCTGTCTCGCAGCTGGAAGAGGATCGAATCCTAGGATCTGGAAGGACGTCGAGGCTGAGCGGTGTGAAAACCCGAATGGAACTCACGTGGCAGAAAGAGCGAGAGGAGACGGGACGACTGCTGCAGGAAACCAATGCCGCCAACAAGGAGATCCGGGCTGCCTTCCTCGAGGTCTGTCGTCGGCGCCTTCCCCCTGACGGCCGAGCCTGAGGCTTCATTTCTTTCAAAGTTGGACTCCGTGGTCGTTTGCAGGCGGAGCACGAGCGAGAGGACGCGAGGAGGCAACTGAGGGAACTCCATGCGTCCATGAAGAAAGACCAGGCTCACACTAAGTTCAAAGTGGAAGAGGTCCGACCATCCATTCACGTGCGTCGGGAGAAAGAAAATCAGGTTTTCTCATACCCGTATTTCCGTTCTACCAGGTTCAACGCGATCTATTGGAGATTCGGGACTCCCACTCGAAACTGAGAATCATGAACGATCGGCTGAAGAGAGATAAGGACAGGGCGGAACGAGAGAAAGAGGATCTCAGATCTGCCATTCACAAGGCTCTGGAAGGCCTTGCCAAAGACGTCCGTCTCCCCTGACACCATTACTATGTATGTCTTGTGCATCGGCGGTCATCCTCTAATGTCGAAATTGATTTTTGTTGCAGATCAAGTCCCGGATGGAGGATAATACATCCTCAATGAAAGGTGAGCCGTATTTTGCGCTTTTTTTGTGGAAAATAGAAGGATTTTAATTTACGGTTTGGGGATTTCAGGTACCTCCTCTCAGGACATGCGAAAATTCCTGGAAGCTGTGCAAGAGTTGTGCCATGACACAGAAAAGCAACGTCTTCGAACCTTGCCCATGGGGAATGTTAGGAGGTGAGTTTCTTTCAAGCCGTTCTTCCTCCGTCACCCATTAATGGAGGAAATTCGCGAAATCTTCCTTGTTGATTATAGGCATGATGGACACCAGCAGTCTGAGAGACTAACGTTTCTCACAGTAGGCTCGTTGGCACTATAAGACTCGTACAGTGACGACTGGGACTTGGCTTTCTCCAGACGAACCATGGATCATCTCCGTGGCGCTCTTGGTGCAAACCATAAGTGGCTGGGGCAGGGTGTTCGAGATGATGGGTGGTATTTCTTCGGGTTTTAAGGCTTACTTGGTCACTCGAGCCGAACATTGGGGAGAATGAGTAGCCTCCAGGAATTTCTTGGGGCTCTTGTTGATGGGCTTTCGTTTTCAGCATAGCTTTGGTATGGCTTTTGGGATGGATGGAATTTCATCGTGTTGACTCCCAGCTCTGGGAGGGAGAGACTGAGGCAGAGGTGGAGACGGAAGAGTTTCTTGAGCTCGATGCTCCCCTTGGGAAGAACGAAAAGGTAGAATAGGTCCTTTTTCCATCGCGAGAGGCTTTTAGCAGGGATCGATGTGGAAGGTCGATGGATGGACAAAACTATTTTCTCCTTCGCTGTTTTCAGGTCGAATTTCTCCACAGGCTAGAGTGGAAAGTCTCCCCCCTCTCCCAGGCCAGATTGGGCCAGCGGTGTTCTCATGCAGAAATGATCGAGAATCGATTTCGATATTCCCTCCTTGGTTGCAGGGGATTCCGAATCACCTGTAAAGGGCACAAAAATGCGGGGGATACGCAACCCATTCATATCTTGCCCATCCAATTCAAGGTTTGAATAGCCACAATTGCACTTAGAGATGCAAACTCTCCCGGTTTCTCCTTACTCCCAACCGGTTAGCAAAGGATGTCAGGAGAGCGGAATTCCCCTAGTTTTACTTAGAGAGGAAACAGAAAGGCGGTGAAGCAACAACTCCAGGCCGCTTGCTGGTCCTGAGACCTCGCACTCATCCAAATTCATAAGAGGCTATTTGGCAATAGCTATCATGTCTAACGGAGGCTTACAGAATAGGGACAGCGTGGAAAAGGAATGGTAACTGCACTACGAACTGCATCCCCTCTGTCATCAGAAACCCCTAATAACCGATTTTATCCCCCAAAAAATGAAATCTCCAGGGCTGACTTGCGGAAGTGTTAGTAACTCTAACTGCACTGAGGATTCACAAGGAGAACGGGAAGAGAGGGCAGAACTAAGCGGGTTTCACTTCCTGCGCCCAGCGTGCATAATTAGCTGTTCGGACCTGCACGTGGAAGAGACCCCTCCAATAGAGTTCAACAAAGTCTCAGGCCCAGAGACGGTCGATCTGAATTCTTAATATATTTGCAGCAGGGAGTCCTGTTCGATAGTCCCTACTTCCCGCACAGTTTTTTGTTTCACTTGGCCTGCGATCTGCGTTTGCAGAGCCACCTACGCCATAAACAAACAGGGAGCTATGCTGGAACTCGCGATGGGACAGCATCTAGAAGTACCGAAATAGACGGTACTGCGTCTCTGGATTAATGGAATTCCCTGGCACGTGCAGGACGAATCCTCTAGTCATGCCCGACTTCAAATTCCGCTGTCGGCAGTGGCATCTACGGAGAATGACCCGTTCCATCATGGTCTTACGTGGAATCCCGATCGCAACGAATGCAGAGGCAGTGGATGAAGGTCTCAATGCGCATGCGTTGAAATTTCAGAGACTGAAAATTTCGCTTCCCCGTTTTTAAATAGGAGACAGATATCATGATGTTGCCCATCCCTAAAGACTAGATAAGGTGCGATTTAACGATCCAGAGAAGTTGCTTTGCAAAAATGAGCGCTTAAACGGAACGAAGGGCAGAAGAGCGAAAAGAAAACTCCAACAAAAGACGAAGCGAGATGCGCGATTGGCTACTGCGCAGGTGTCAGCTCCATCCAAGCTGGGAAAGGGAACCCGTGCAGATTTGCTTCTGTCGCGAATCCTCCCGTCTTCAACATGTCTCAACCAATTAGTCGTTCCGTGTTCTGCCCCCCGAATAGAAACAACCTTCGTGCTATGGATTTCGCCAGCACGATCCGGACGTGTTCTGGAGCACTGACAGCTATTGCAACATCAATGGAACCTCATCTTATCATTTCCACGAGTTCCAGAGGGATCGTGGAAATGTCTCGGTTAGAAAGTACGGTATGACGCCACAGTTCCTGACTCAAACATCATGATGTGGGTGGGCCTTTCTTATCGTCTTAGACTTATTACATCTCTATATTATCATTTCTTCACTTTATTTTTTCTTCTTTTCTTCAGTCTTAATTTTACTGAAGATGATAAGAATATAGGATTCACAGGCATCTGATATGCGTCATGGAATCTATTCTCCTCCAAGTCTCGTCACAAGTCACGTAAGCCTTAGCTTAAGCACCAAAATAGTACAACCTGCGCCCTAATAAAACTGTTTATTCGAGTACTGTACCTCTACATCACGAGTCGTTGTTAGTGAAGGTGTTCAATGGCTTAAGTGTAATGGAACTGTTACTATGAAACTGATCGACCGGTCCCTTGTTCGGCATGCTGGATCCTTCATGCGTAGAGAGAGGAAATATTGCCCGGGGGATTGCCAGAAAAGGGAATTCAGGGCGCCGGAATTCGGGATTCTTTTTACCGAAAACACCACAGCCGTGGAGTTCGATTCAAGGATGCAAGGTAGATCCTGGGTAATCGGAAAACCCCCACTCGAGGGAGATGGCAGAAAACCTTTGTTTTCTCATGGGTATGTGGGATTCGTCTGTGGGTCGGCAAGTATTCCAACTAGAACTCTCAATTCAGTTCCAATAAATCAGAGTGTGAAGTCTTTAAACGCGTGACTCGTTCTCAAAAGAATGATAAGAAAGGATTTCAAAAACGCGCGGCGTACACTGTCTTATAAAAGCAGGTTCTTATGACACGACCAGAGTGGTAGACCTTCCACCTTCGCGCAATCGACTTTTATCTCAATATTGTAAGACGGATTGCAATTAGTTTCGAAGCATCATATTTGGTACGAGATGCACGGTTGCAAGCTTGACTTCCATTCTTTGCCTTCCAGGACGCAAAGCGTGACGGATTCGAATGCGGAGCCCCTCGCTCCCTACAAAACCAAGCTCATTTCTCCAGATTTGACCATTCCCGAGGAAGCGAGTCTCGGAAGAAAGGCTCGGTCCTTCGACCAAACCGCAGCTTTCGCTCTACCCGAGGCGAGCCCATTTTCTTAACCTTATCGGCTTGTCGAATTTTCGTTCGACTCTGACCGTGCTGTGATTGGAATTTCAGAACGCAAGCATTTGGGCGGGTGCCGAGACGGGGAGTGCTTCTTCCCTCACGTCTTTCGATGGATCGTTGGGTGGGAGCACGGAGTTCAAATTCCGTACCCTACCGAACCCGAATCGGGAAGGCAGCTTCGACAGGTTTGCATCTCGAACCCTCTCTCGTCCGGATTTGAATATTTTCCTCTCGCTCGTAACGAGATGGACTCGTGGCAGGAACTCGACGAAGAGCGAGGTGGTGCCGGGGACGGACGGGGGACGAAAGGAGAAGAAAGGCGTGGCATCCACCATCAAGCAGAAGCTGAAACAGCTCACGAAATCCAGGAGTATCGAAGAGACGAGCACGGCCGAATCCGCTGCTGTCGCCGGCATCCATGTCTCATTTTCCTTCCTTTAAATCCCCTTTTCTGCGAAGTCAAGTACGATGAGAAAATATATATATCGCGGACGGTGTTGATTGCAGGCCATGTTCGTTGGGATCGGAGGGTCCGGAGCGGAGCTCGCGACGAGCTTGAGGGAGAAAACCTCGCGAGGCAGCACCCCAGTGGAAAGAAGTCGCAGTCGAACGTGAGTTCACTCATCGTCTCATTCCTCATGTTCACGTGGATTCGCTCGCAATTACAAGCCGTCAAATTTTCGATCTACTTTGTTGACTGCACAGTGCTCCTCAGAATTCATGCTGGCAACTCGAGCCTGCGTTACAAAGTTCTGTGGTATCAAGCAAAAAAGTAGAGTTGCAATGATATCGGGATATGGGATATCTGTATGGGCAATATTTAGACTGCCGATATTCGGATCCCCAATATGCAAGCACTGACGTTGAAACTGACTCATAACTTTCTATTAGTAAACCCTGAAATATTTCATTTCGTACGTTTAGTACTTTTGTGGAAGTACAGTATTGTTCAATTTCTCTGACAGAGGTACCGGATTTTTGGAACTGTGCTATCGAAATATCGAATATCTGGAAATTGTTGATATCATAACGCCTCTGCAAATAAATTTACATAAAAAGGTCTTATTTGTAAAGTGAGAAGTGGAACTTTACGCGCGTCGTCCAGAATAGGCTTACGAGATACTTTTTAATTTATTCCCAAACTTTTAGTGTGCTTGTTTTTACCGGCTTAGCCTTTTTTCTTTACATCTCTGGTGGTGCCAGCACAAATAACTAATGTGAAGACGTTTCCTCCTCTCTCTTTTGAACAGGCGAGAAGGGAAGGAGAAGAGGTTTGCTTGCTTCTTTCGTAGCGACAGTGCACTATTCTGGAATAGCTCCATCTTATTAGAATTTAGCACTGAAATCACAAACAGACTTCTATTCAATCTATAGAGTAGAATATTTCTACGTAATCTTCCATGTTGTAGCAAACCGAATGCCATACTTCTTGAACATCCTGATCTTTCAGCCAAATTGGTTTCGCGTAGAAATAGACTAACAATGGACGCCTTTCATGCAGTAACGTCAATTTCATGCTCAACTTATTTGTAATCTTCATATAAAGGCACGATTCGTTAGAGTGAACGGTCCAAAAAGACTTGAGAAATTCCCCAAAACGTTAAAAATCTATAGCGCTGACTCAGATGACTTTGAAAGAACCGGAAATATTCCTGTTTCATGCATGACCGGAGGCGGTAGTAAAAGGACGAGGGGTTTTACAAGTCTAAACAGATTTATTCCATTCCCGAGGTCGTTTTTGTCCTACACTCATGAAACTCGGCATGTATGCCGGCAGACTTATTCAGAAAGCCATGGACTAGCTAGTGTACCGGTGACAGAAATTTCATTCCCACTGAAAATGGAAAATTAGTCAAATGTGCTTTATGCATTCTGAGTTTCATCGTTTAAGGACACGAGATCTCAAGTGAATATGGGTATACCCTTCTAATACAAACATACAACGGTAAATATAAATGAATGACCAGTATAGGCCGAGCCGATATATGAGTTTTTTTTTAGATCAGGAAATCTCTTTCAGAGAGATCTTAGACCTACTGGATGAACGATTAAAAGTTTCCCTAACTCTCAAACTTTTTGATTGCATGAACAGCGAGGCCCCATCGGAAAATCAATCTCTTGGGGAAATAGTGGACAGTTACAGTCCGATTCCTTCTCCAGAACTCATCCGAAAGGTAACCATCCGGTCTTCTCAGGCATTTATTTTTGTTTTGTTTTCCCTTTCCTGTCCACTACCAAACCTCCCACGTTTCCAGACAAAGAAGACGCTGGGCTCGAAAATCAAGGAGAAGTTCCGAAGCACGTCGAAAGAGAGGCAGTCGTCGTTCGAAGACGAGGAGGCGAATAAGGAGATCTATCGGCCCAAGATGGACAAACCCCTTACGCTTACGAACCGGACCAAGACAAAGAAGAAATGACCTTTAGGGCAACGTGCAATCTTGCCAGTGGTGTTCGAAAGAGTGCGATCCAGCACGATCTCGCTTTGGACCTTCCCTTCTCAGCTCCTCTGTATGCGATAGAGTCCTCTTTTAGTCCTAGAAAGAGTGGACCGACCATGCAGCGTGTTGATGCCCATTCCCCAGGTTGACCCTGTACTGGACATATCACTCGACAGAGATACATTTTATCTTCCGTCACGAATATCTGTCTCTGGGCTCATTTCATCGAGTCTTTTATTCGGACAAGATAGGGATATAGGCAGTTAGATCGACTATCGGTTTGGTTAGTGAAATCGGTAAAAAGAAGTGAGGTGCAGAATATTGCTAGAGAGGCAGAACGGAATAAGCCGCTCCCTTCATGGCAAAGAGGAGAAGGAAGAGGGAAGTCCAGGATTGGGGCTGGTTGGTCTGGGCTCCGAAGTTGCAGCCATCCGCATTATCACAGCTCTGTAAGCATCCCTTCACGTACCTGGGGAGACAAGGGACGTACAAGCATGACAGTGAAAGATCATTTCTATATATTCGGGTATCAGAGAGAAATGCAAAGCACTCAGCAAGAAAAGGTCGTTTGTATGCGTCAAACTGGCTTTTATTATGGCAATTCCGATGAAAGCCTTTCGGGCTTGCATAGTTGCATAGTGGCATACTTAGTCTTCGTATGCACCATACGCTCCAGAGACGAAAAAGCCAGGATTCTCTTTGTAAAAGAAAGCTTCACATGCTGGCTGTATAAGATGATTACGCATTCGAATTCCTTTTTTTTTCTTCACAAAATTTTGAGGATGTCCAAGTAGTGCTAGCGGTTTGCAATAGTGAAATTTCGCTTCACTCTCGAAAATAACCTCACTACAATCCCCGTTCTCATTCAAAAATAAATCTCGAAAGGGGACGAGGGAGATAAAGCGCTGTCGCTGTGGACGCGACCCATCATACAGAGAGAGAATCTGAAGATTCTCCATCCTCATCGTCTGGACTGTCTTCGCATCTCCCATCGCCATCATGGACATCGAGGTTTTCTCAAAGGCTTCTAGATTCAACTTAGAAACACAGATGAGGATATCCTCGTCTTGTCTATCTGAGTTACTTTTTCCTAAGGCCGAGATGGAGCTTTCCAGACCATCAAAGAATTCCCCTTAATTTTCACTCTAACCGAGTTCTAAATGAAACATTATGAAACTCAAGCATTTAGAGTCTCTTGCGAGACAGCTTGGGGAAAATCGAGTTGTGCCGACATTGCATCTCTCAATAATTGTCCTGGTCATCATTCATCTGAAAATAGATGAGACAGTATGCTCTGTTTTCATGCGATCATTTGCCCACAAAGGTGATTCCAACATTTCAATAGTATTTGGTTTTAACAGTGGGCAAATTGTCTGGATTGGCACAAACAGAACCAGAGGCGATTTTTCCATTCCCCTTTTCCGTACCTTGCTTTGCGTGATATTTTCCCTGGACCTTTTAACTCTGGGGAAAAGCATTAAGGATGTCACAGTCTAAAACATGCACCATCAAACATTCCGAGCACCTGAACATTAGGTGTTTTTAAAGCTATAGCACGATCTATAATATCTATACTGGCTACAGGACAGCAGTCTGGATGACTTCCTTCTCGGAATGTTAGATTGCATGCCATGCACACAGGAAGCCCTATACATTCATTGCGCGGATGCCCGATCATCCTGTTTCTGCTTTATTAATAAAAAAAAACCTTTTCTGGGTAAAAATCATTCCAGATCATTGAATAAGCTAATCGATGACAATAGAAGAAGCAGATGAACTTAAATTATATGAGCACGATACCTTCCCTCGAGGATATATCCTCCGCAGTGAGACATGCGGATGATTTCCGTGTCTGTGGTGAGCGACCCGGAATCCAAGGCACATGAACGAACCACTATTGACTCCCCCGTATCATCTGCAAAATAATTCATCATTCCGCCATGTCCTCAATCCTCCTCTATACATGCATGGTCTTTCCAATTCCAATCTCCTCTCTTGTGATCCTCGAACCTCGATTCAGATTCCCATCCCAACCTTGGAGGATCGTCAGTCACGAAAAGCACGCCGATCCATGCCGTGCAACGCAACGCGGAACACAGGACGCAGGACAGATTCCCGCGAGTCATTCAGGGAGGGCATGCCCGAATACGACGACAAAGCAGACAAACACATGCGTCAGGCATGAAGTGACAGTCGGGAGTTCTGTCGGTATTGGGTGTCTGTTCAAATGTAGCTACTAATGGGTTTTCTATGGGAGACGACGTAGGACGTGGCGAGGGAAGTACCTCTCGTCGAAAATGAAGCTTCCACAGTGCGACATCCGAACCAATTCCGTGTCGATGGTCAACGTTCCGGAATCCGGGGCGCAGCTTCGGATCACCAACTCTTCCCCTGAATCCACTGTCAACCCAAGGATTCCCCGCGAAATGAAACATCATCGTCACAAAAATATCACTTTCTCATAAACAAAGTCTCAAAATACCAGTGTGTTGTCTCCCTTTGTAAACAATTTGCAGGCGCATGTGTCGATCGGATGAATTTTTTTTTTCAGCGTCAAAAATAGATCCCTGCAGTCTCCGTTTGGCTTGCTGTAATTCTTAAAGAGCCTCACGAGGGAACCAGTAGGATTACTGTGAATCTTCCCTCTCATCGTAGTGGCAGACGTGTCGTCGCAACAGAGATTAGATCGAAGTCGAACTTTCCACATGTACGTATAGTTCCGTAACAGAATGAGGCGCAGAGAGAAAGAGGAAATATCAGCCATGCTGATGATGAAAAGAACGCAAAGGAAATAACCATCGAAGAAGCGAAGAATAAAGATGAAGAATGTGCCAGCCCGAACAGAATACCTGTTGCGGTGCAATATGAAAAACACGTGCCATAAGAAAAGATCTTCATCGGAGATGACAAAGCCGTCAACAGATGAGATATTTTTTTGATAAGGTGCCTCTCCCACTCAATGTTCCACCGGCATGCAATCCCACCGATCGATTCTCGGCCCCCCTCCGTCATGAAACGACAGGAAGTAAAGACAGTAACCGTATGTGCCGGATAGCTTGATGCATGCGGAGGCTGGGAAGAGGCCATTCCTGTCTTTTCTTCCTCCCATGCAGGGGGCTTCTAGCATGGCCAAGGAGAAATTATTGTGGAAAGGATCCTCGCAATGCGGATTGCTTCCGGCCACGCTCACACATTTGAAGCAATCGATCCCCATCACACCTGTGTTGACATACGCAGATTAATCTCATTCGCACAAAGCAAAATTCGACTCGGACAGGTGATGAGGTGAACTCACCCAAGGGTACGAAAAGAAGTAGTGCAGGCACTAAGGGGGTCATTTTGGTCCCTTCGTTCATGGCTGTCATCTGTGCGAATATGCGACGTACAGGACTTTCACAAGAAAGGGTGTTTATATAGGGGATGCATCATTTCTGCAAAACAAGACGTTCGTCGTTTTTATTCAGACAGATCTTCATATTAAATTGAAGGGTTTTAAAGGTTTTGTTAACTATTTGCATGCAAACTCGAAGGGACAAAATATGTATTGGATAACTGGGGGAAATATGGGCAGCTGTTCATTTCCCTTGCATGTCCCAAGCTTTCATGCACCTGGATGTGTTCCTGTTATCAGCATTTACAATGGCACGGTTTCCCTTTTTTTGCTGTTATATTTGTGACGAAGAATCTATATGTGGGCGTGTCTTTCATCGTCTAGCAAGGTCGCTGCATGACCTTTCGTCGACTACACGGTTCATCACGCGATATTGTATTCAAGGGGAAGTCCGTATCTAAAGCTATCGACTCGGCAGTGGCGTTCGTACTTTCAAGGTTGCCAGATAATTTTGACAGTGCCATTCAGATAACATAGGCATTCCAATTTTTTAAAATGGCTTATTCGTATTTCAGATGCCAGAAAAGTTTTACAAACACTCCGATAGGCATATACGAGACTCAGAATCAAGCAAGGCCTGTTTCACATGGTTCCATGAAAATTATGCATGGGTCGCTTTATCTGCCAAGACTATGTATTGTCTCAGGAAATTTTTTTCTTTTAGCTGTGGGAAACCCAAATGCATAGTTTTCAGTTGGATTGTTCGATTTAATATTTAGGAATTCTCTTGCGTTGCAAATAAACCTATTTTTACTGCTTGCCCAGATTAATCACTTTACTGTCCATCTTACCCTGAACAGTCCTGAAAATTCCCCTGAGTTACCTTATGTTCTATTTGAACGGTTGTATGCTGCTTTTCAATTTCTGAATAATTTGCTTCCCACTCACAGTAAAGAAATGAGATTTGTCACCAACATAATGCGCTTATAAAAAAATATGTCGCATACTAGAGATCAATATAGTCTTGGTTCCAATACGCAAGGGGAACTTCGTGAATTTAGGTTCGGCTCAACTATTTCATAAATTAAATCCCAAGTCAACTTCAAAGTATGAGACACTGTACATTGTTCCAAACATAACGATCCTGTACGGCCTTAAAAAAAAAATTATGGATTAAAGGATAACAGGAATCTATTTGAAGCAGTCAACTATGGGGAACTCTTAAGAAGCTAAAAAAAAAAAGGAAAGGCTTTGATCGAAGTCCAAAAAAACTAACGCTAAAGAACCAATCAACTAATATCAAAAGAGTTTAAGGAACAGGAGTTCAAAAACAGCACCAGCAAGGACTGAAAGGTGACTTCACTGTTACTGTTCAACTGGGCTTATGACAGACTCTGTCCTTCGCAGTGCTACAATTAATGGGTTTGGATGTCTTAACATCCGATCTCAAGAAAAGGATGCGCAATCGCATCAATGACTCCTTGCAAGATAAAAGATTACAATTTTTACGAGAAAGGAAAGCCCATTGAAGAAAATAAGGGGCCCTGCGGTCAGACGTAGGCAGGTCTAGAACTACTTTGCTGAAGGAAAATTTTAAAGAAATGGACTCTGGAAAGTAGGGACCCTGCCGGCACCAGCTGAAGAAGGATTCTTGAAAATGAGAAAAATCGTTTCTCGATATTGATGCTGTGAAAAAAGACTGTTTGAGGGAAGCCTGTCAATCTGGGATCCCGATCGGGGTTTCTCAGTCCAGCGACCGGTCCTATGGGAAGGATCTGGGATTCTGTTGCAGGAGGCTTCAGTCTTCAGTCTCGTGAACTCACGTAGCCTCATGTGTTCATTGCTCATGCGTGCCACGTGAGTAAGCCTGTTGCGTATTGGGCTGAAAAGAGGCAGTGACGTTCCCATGCCTCCGGAAGCTTCAGATCGATAATTACCGAGAATCTCTTATTTTTTTTAAATTCAAATAGTCGAATAATACCCTGTATAATCAAGCGGCATTCATATCATATTAAAATTCGGAGTTTAGGGATCCCTATAAACATTTTCAATTCATTTCATTCACTAGAGCCATTATTCATTTATTCATTCGAATATATGACTTCGAGCCATTCAAATAACGAAAATCAATCGATATGAAGCCGTTTGGGAACCGTTGAAAAGTGTGTCATTCGATTCAATCGAAAGAATGCGTGAATAAATCTCTGTTGATGGTTTCCCTCCCATCCCGGTTCTCACAGGGCGCTCTTCACGCACACATTTCTTCAATGCATGTAAATTCAACGTGGGGAAGTCTCTTGCTCTTACTCTTTAAAGAAATACCTTCTCGAGTTCGAACTTGTCGAGAATTCCTCCGAAGGAAAAGGCAACAGGATTCAGGAAACATTACCAATACGAAGTCGTAGGCTCATAAGCGACTCGTGGAGTCTCACCGAAGCAGAGAGAGTCGTCACCCGATGCGCATCGTGCCCCTTCCCAATTCAAGGCCTGCTACACACCTCGTGCCTCCGTCCTCCAACTGCATCGGGATGAAGTAATTATGAAATATTTATGGGCACTTAACTTTATTTATGGCTGAAGTTCGTGGAAGAAACTTACAGAAATGGGAGTAACGAGACAGCAGAGAGTTGCAAGAAAACGGGGCAGGAGAGAATTCTGGAGGAACGAGTGTTGCCACGAGCCGGAATTTCCAACCCCTTTCAACCGATGCTCTCTCAACGGAAGGATGAAGCGACGGGGACGTCGTCTGTCGCAAGGACTCAACACGGGAGGAGGAGAAATGTATTGTCTTAGGATATAGCGCACAGTGATCGCGAGAAACAGGATTGAGAACGAGGAGGAACGTGGGCAACCCTACTGGGTTGGGATCAATACGTGGATCCGCGCAGACACACTCCGTTCTGGCATCTCCAATACGCATTATCTCGTACTTCTCCTTTGGCTCTCCATGCTTCTGCACGGGCATTTGTATCACCTGCAATGAGAACTGATGTAAATAAATTAATTGCCATAAAGTTTCAGATATTCCTATGCCACTCGACTGAGTGCTTTCTCATTGCGTGAATCACCGGATTGAATCGGATGGAAAAATTCACTAACTGCAGAGATGAGAGTTTTGAGCACAATAGGAATTTCATTTAGTCTTTCAAATGTTTTAGTATAACAAATTCGCCAAGAATGATAGCCGTTGTTCATATAAGAGGTGAGAATCACGCTGAAGGAAAAAAGCATGATTTAATCCTCGAAATGTTATTGGTTTTGATTTTAGAAAGTGTCATTCAAATTCACCTCCGTGGAGTTCGAGCGCTTTTTATTATTATTATACAATGAATATAGATTGTTTGGGAATTGTTGAAAAGCTTGTCCAATCATTGTTATTACTCAGTATCAAAAGCATTCTCAAGTGATTCGCGTCGCTGGTTGCACAGGAAGTGTGTGTCACACTGAATGGCAAACAAGTCCCTTTCACTCGCTTTTTTCTCTAGAATGGGACAGTTCATTGATGGGAACAGGCGTCATCACAACCAGGAAAACTGAAGGACCTCTCTGGTGATCAGCTCCTGGAACCCAAAAAAAAAATCAGAAGCTGGATTTTAAAAGAGGGAAACGAAGAAGCTATGGGATAGCACGTAATGCTGTGCAGTGCTCCCTGCAATGGTGAGATGGGAGCAGGGTTCCGCAATCTTTGCCTTCTTTCTTTCTGTCCTTGTGTCATTCCAGCCATTTGCAAGAGGCGGCAAAGAGATGTAGTCCTCATTCGGCACGACAACGTTGTGTCAACATTGTAAAAATGTTGAAACGTTGAGACATGGTTGAAGTTGACAAATCAGCGAAGCATCAACAGAAATAAAATACCGATTATTCTTAATTAACTGCATCTTCAGCATATGGAGACCACGCATGAGTTAGGAAAGTCATTTGGAAATTCGTTTTCTACAAATTCAAATGCAAATTCGTTTTCCGCATTACCCTTCACAGTTGTCTGAATTTTATTTTAACATTGAGTTATCCGCGTTTTCTCAACAGCCAGATATCTACTTGTGGAAATATTGAATCATGAGCACTTTCTCAAAAGAAAATAGGTTCTACCAACCGACGCGAGATGGCGCATCTAGTTGCCAATTAGCGATTTTCAACTTGATGCCACTGGAATGAGCCCCCTGTATTTATATATATGACCTGACCTTTTCCCCCCCTTTTCACCTGACCTTCGGAGAAGTCTTTAGAATTCCTGGATAGACCCGTTTTAAGAGGTAACTCGACGGAATGAGACTCCAGATACTTCTGGCCCGGGGGTCATGGGACATGCCGAAACTTCAAACTTCACTTCATGGGATGTATGCCTGCCCAAATTCGTATATCTCTCCTTGTGGTGAGAAAGCGTCTTAGTCTGGGTGGGTGTGTCCTCTGGGACGGAGAGAAATCCAAGGACAATGCCAGGCTCGCAAATTCTTTGCTGAATGGAACCAGGTGGGTCGTTCATGACCTCATTTGGGATTTTATACAGTAAAGGGAGTTAATGCCTCATGTGAAATCAACCGCAGGATGGTAGGACTCGCTAGAATGCATGAGAGTTAAAAGAGAAGATTCCAACGATATCACTTTGTTTGTGCATCTTCAATATCAGGAAAAGAAGGAGGCAATACCAAGACCTTGATGATTTAATGCCTACACAACGTGACAAAGTTAAAAATCAATCCTCCCTCGACGTCGAGACAACGTTGTTATGCCGAATGGGTCCAATTTCCATCTCTAGTCCTGTTTGTTGATATGGTTTTGGGTCATCTGGCAGCTATTCTCGAAAGTGATGTGGATTGCTTGGCCTGTTCGTTGAGTCGGAGCAGTTTCTCATTGATCAGTACTTCCCAACCCAGGGGTCGCGACCCGGCAACTAAATGCTTAGTTACGTTTTTCTTTGCGATATTAGCGTATAGGTATGGGAGCCTGTCTAACTTCGTCCAGTGCTTCGGGTACGAAAGTGATTTTTGGGGTCGCGCGTGAAAAAGGTTGGGAAGCCCTGTCCTAGATCCTTCCTTCTCGCCTGCCGAGACCCTTCTGTCAGAAACGGACGGTGATGTGAGATCAATCGATTTGGAAAACCTTGCAAAAAAACTTGAATCCCTGCTGCCGCTCTGATCGTTTTTATTATTATAGGGGCTCTGCTCATCATCTTCAACGATCACGTTCCTCAGCTCCTGAGAGAGCTTTCCACCTTTCTCCTCTGTTTTCGATGGCCATTTCAGCCGTTGGAAATATTGTGCCGGTTCACATAAATGAATGCTTCACCTGGACCGAGTCGTTTGGTCACCAGACTTTTTGAATGAACAAAGCCACTCGAAAAGTGATGGCTCTGATCCGGACAACGTACCTCATCTCTTCATCACTCAGCTTTTAAGGAACCGTAAGAGAGGGTGGGGCACCGTGGATCATTTTTACTTCTCAAGGATGTAGTTTCGCTACAAAATTCCAGAAAATTTGATGACATATTGTTTTATATGTTCCTCAGCATCTCCAATAAGTACAACTTTACAGCGCAGTCTATATTCACATGGCACATTTTTATAGGTTTACGTTCAAATGGTCCATGGTGCCACACCCCTCGGGCACGATAAACCATCCATTTGGTCTCGATGAGCCATTATCAGCCGAACGTGGAGAACCATGAACTGACTTGTTAGATCTCTGCTCAAAATATTTTACGTTTCCGGCATCATTATGCTATTTTGAGCTTCCAAGCGTATTTGGTCGCAAGGGGTACTAAAAGTGCTAATTTTGTACCTTTTCTCACTTTTGTGACCTTTTCATCTCTTTAATCTTCGACGAACTTATTTATTTTACTTCAAGAACACCAATAACGGTAAGATATATATAATATTGTGGCATCGAACTTGATGGAACATCGAAAATCCCTCGTGGTCCATGGTGCCCACTCTGATTTTTTTTTTGTAATTCCACATGGCAGGAAAACTAAAGGTCATGAAGTGATTGTGATTGTGTACAATCTCTAAAGTTACCTTGTTACCAAGCCTACTAGAGTGCCTAGTTGTAGGAAAACAGTCCTCAGGAAATGATGATGGGAGGATGGAGGGTTGTGCGTTCGTTGGGGAACCATCCGCCGCGAAGGTTGGTAGGAAACTAATAGCTCTGGTTGCTGACACGACACCGCGCCCAAGGCCTAGCTCGTAGGCGCATGCGCATTGTGATCCACATCCTGAAGGGCTCACGGGTACTCATGCCTTCCCCTCCATGAACAAATTTCAAAGACTAAATTTGCAACAAAAGTGCCAATTTCGGTGTAAATTCGCCACAAAACGAACTCACCCTGTACCTTGTTAATATCTACCTGCTTGCCAATTTTCGCATTGGTCAGGCCAATATTTTCTCAGTTATCGTCGGACAACCAAAGTGTGACACACGGACACACGGACGGACAGGACGGGAGCATAAGTGGTCTCCTTTCTTTCAGGAAAGGAGGCCCACTAAAAAGAGTGACATATATTTCCATAGATTCATCACAGGTATGAAGTCTTGCTTTTCTTGCTATTTGGAGCGCGATCCCGCAAGATTCGTTTTGTTTTGCAGGTTTTAACTTTCCAGTTTCTGTATGTTTTTTTTTTTCAAATAGCAGATCAAACAAGATTTCCTCACAGCTAGCCGAGGGCAAAAGAAAAAATTTCAAGTGTGTCTCAGACGAGTGACTTTGGGCTTTGGTTCAGCATTTTATGGGACATCTTTTTAGCAATAATAATTAGGAGGCGAGTCGTGAGATGGCGGAATGAGAGCAATACAAGCGATTATTACTTGTCGAAATTGCTTCAGTTTTCATTGCTATTCGGCACAAATTATATAAATATTCAATTGTAAGGTTATTTCTGTATTACTTCAATGCCTAAGACTCCCCCGCATTAAGGTGCTAAAAATGAACAGTCGCTCCTAAAGTAATCCATCATTACCTCAATTATTGTAGTAAACCAACAGGCAATATTTTGCTTAGTGTCAGTGTCGTTTTATAGCCCTTTAGTACTTTTCGTTAGTCACTAATCGGTTTTGAAGGGACTCTCAATGGTACACAAAACAGATAGCGATGTCAGCGCCTCATAAGCTGAGAAAGGTGGCAACATTTTTTTTTTTACATGAATCGAGTTCATGGATTTCGTACAACGAAACAGAAACCTCTCTGGTGTTCCTTCAGTCCTGCTTAATTCCTAATAGCCCCTAACTATGCAATGCAGTTGGTGTAAACTTTCGCTAGTACTACGCAATACGCATCTCAATAATCGCGTTTCGATGGAAATTTCTGAGGATGACAACGCAAAGTCGCTTTTTCTTTGACCCCCATGACTAAACCCCCATGGAAACACATTAAATTGAAGTATCTAATGTTGACTTACCTTAAGCGACTCAACTCAGGGCACCTCTGTCAAGCGACGTAAGGAAGTTAAAGTGCTTTAGCGAGGCCATGAAACCGACGCCTCTATGGAGTAGACGCAATCGAGACCAGTTGACGACACCTGCCCCGACAGTGGAAGTGCGCATGCTTCAATTTCTAAATCTACTCTGAGTGTTCTTATGCCACCAAGGGATAAAGAGCTTCAGGAGGGGGCGAAGACCCCTAGAGATGAGTCATCCTAGCTCAAGTCGACTTTTAAAAAAAGAGTAGATTTCAACTTAACTTTCAGGTCAAGGGAATCTGCATCGAGACGCAGTGGGTGGGAATAACGGGATGCCACCGTGTATGCTGCACATGACTGCGTGTTTCTCTACGCATGCGTGTTCGTCTCTGTCACTCCATTATTGGACCGACGGAAACCCAGAGCGCAGGCGCAGAACCATGACGCAGGCGCACTCCATGTTCATCATGGTCTGGGCCCATGTCTGGGCATGAACTGGGCAGATGAGGACACAAAGCGCAGGCGCTCTCCATGTTTTATAATTTCGCGGCGCTCAATTTTCGCGATTATTCTC